CACTCTTTCTGTCCTGCTAACTGCTTGGGGAAATTAACTCATATAAAAGAATGGTTCTAAAATTGCTCTAGCTCCTTGTGTTATTTCAAAATTTCTGTGACTAAATTTTGTTTCTGCAATTACGTTAAATATTTTGGTGGTTTATATTTTGGCAGTTTAATAAGGAGATATAATGGAAGTGAAATATTGAATGTTAATATAATTTCTTATCTTAAAGTATTATGTTATGCCGTTGTGAAAATCAAAAGGAAAAATAAATTTGTTTGAAAATAAACTTTTCACAGTGGCAAAGTTGTGTTGTCATTGCAGTGATGCTAAATAAAAAAAAGATTCTGCTGACAATCTGTTTGTCAGAACTTTGAGTTGCTATGATGTTAGCTGAACTTTAATGTTTTTTAGAGGTCATCAGTGGGAAGTGGAGAAATGGCTAAATTGACCCAGTTAATTGACAATGAAGTCTTCCGGGCTTATGCTACTTATACAGTTATTGTTCTTCTAAAAATGATGCTAATGAGTCTTATAACAGCATACTTCAGAATCACAAGAAAGGTAAGAAATTTGGAATACTGTCTGGTAGAATAGACTGAAATTTGTATTGAAATACAGAGATACACAGGTGTTCTTTGTCTTCCTCCTTCCTCCTCTAATGATGTTCTGAGTTTGGTGTGTTGATGCTTTGTTGGTCTCAAATGGGCAGCATCAGTAACCTAATTATGAGATAATTATGAAACTATATCTTACAGTTTTATTTGACTTACTCTACCCTTCTAAAACATTTCTGTTGTTTTTAAATAAGAGTTTTTTGTAACTGTAATTTCCAGTGTCTTCTGCAGAAAGGTGGTGTCCTGGGTACCCAATTTATAAAGCAAATAAAGTGTGGTATGGAGCCATGTTACATGAATAACCAACTAGCAGGGTCAGAAGAGGGGGTGCAGAGTGGATTTGTATGCATCTATAACCCTGTCATCCAGTAATTCTAAAGCTCTTTTTATTCCTTAATTGTTTTAGCCTTCCCTTTGTAGGTAGGTCGTTATCTAAAAAAAACCCTGAATTTTTTTCTGGAATGAGAGGCAGGCTGAAAATTTATGTGGATTGATGTGTAGGCTAGATAAGTATATGAAAGATGCACTGAGTTTTACTAAATAATGCAGAAGCTTCATCTAGCTTAGGAGAGAGTGCTCGTGGGAAACACTGTGGTGTGTCTGCCCTATTCTGGGTCTTCTCTAGGCACCTGCTCATGGTCACTGTTGGAAACACTTGGGCCTGGGCTGAAAGAGCCCTGTATGACTGTTCCTGTGAGATCTGCTTCTGCAAGACAATGTGCTCTTCAAGGGTTTTGACACAGTCCTTTCATTAAAATGCTGCTTTTTGTTCCTGCTGGGTGCAAGAGAATCCGGCTGAACCATTCTGTTGTTCATGACCTAAGAGCACAGCATTTGAGCTACTGCTGGTTTTCTAACAGCTCTCTAGGTCTTTGGCAGAGCTGGACGTTTGGGTACAGTAGAGCACACAGCCTGTCCCAGGTGTCTGTGTCGTAACTTTACTTCCTTTTGCTCTTGCACAATCACATCAGCTCTACTGGCCCTATATATATAGATCCAGTGGAGTCCTGTATTATTGCTTATATCATGTTTTGATCCATATGTATGCAGGTAGGGCCTTCATGAATTTGGAGTACTTGGTTTTCTTATGACAGTAATATTACAAACAGAAAAATCAGTAAAGTAATTTTAATTTCCTATTTAATATAAAAAGTCTTTAAAATGTTATGAAAAAATGGAGGAAAGTGGTTAGTGGAGCAAGAGAAGGTAAAATATTGCTGATGCTGATACTGTTAATGTGTTTCCAGAATTTTGAGGCCGGGATGTTTCACAGAAAGGGACCAAAGCTGCATCAGAAAGCAATCTTATAGCTTTCCTAAAATCAAAAGGTTTCTTGACTTAGGCCTCCCTAACCTGAAAAGTCCGCAGAATTTGTGTGTTACTACATGTGTCAGCAAGGAACATCTACTGCAGTCTGCATTAACTGAATTAAATGTTGTTTTCAAGTAGTGTCTTACAGCATTTGCAGCTAATAACATGTCATATAAGTGGAAAAAATTATACCTAAGAGGAAAGGGAGAAACTTATTTGGTCATAAATGAGGATGGGAGGAAGAATTTTTGTGTAAACTTCTGAAGAAGGAGGGGATCCAAAAGGGCTTTCAGATAATTTTTCAAGAATAGTGAAAAAGAGATTTAGGCAGCACAGGCCATAGTTCTACCTTCCAGGTCCCTGTGTTCCTTCAGCTCATGGCATTACTTCAAGCTGAGCATCATTCATCTGCTGTGCTTGTCCATCTTACAAGAAGCCTTTATCAACATGCATAAATTACCTTACATTAATTTGTCAGCATGCAAGCTACATACAGGCTAGGCTCAAGCAAACAGTAATGCAGGGAATGGTATATTGCTCCCTGTGCATTTAACTTCAGGTAAGTTATGTGAGGCTATAGAGACATTAGTAAAAAGAGTGACCTTTATAGCAAACTGCCTTGACTAGAAAAAAACATTCTGGCTTCTAACATCTCCTGTGTGTTTCTGTTTGAAATAGGCATTTGCCAACCCAGAAGATACAGCGTCATTGGGAAAAGGTGAGAGTGCTAAAAAATATCTCCGGACTGATGCAGATGTCGAACGTGTACGCAGGTAATGCATAGGAGTCTTTAAAAACTATTTTAAATAGCAGAATAACACGAAATCTAGGAATTAAATTCACCCCATTAACTTTGGCAAGCCTGTGTATGTTTTATGTTGTTTTAGGTAGTAATCTAGTACATTAATTTGTTTAAATGAACAAACCATTCCACATTCAAAGAGTCAGCGTGCATACTAAAACTAGTAAGTCATTGTCTGGTTAGAGCAGCTAACTTTCATAGTATCCTGTACACATGGGGAACTGATGAGGAGTTTGTAAAATACGACTCTTAAGTTGATTTAGCGTGAAGCACTGTCCCTTAAGCGTAAATCAGCTTTACATGATTTGAACACAGGTTGCAATAGTAGCATCTTTTCCTAAAGTGTAAGGAAATAACCAAGAGAAGAGGAGTAAAACTATGTTAAAGTCGTGGAACTCCAGAGTTGTAATGAGCATTAATTTGGCAAATTGTACAGAGTGGGAGTCAAAGCCTGTGCGCTTTTTTGCTGGATTCGATCGAGGTTACTCACTCGTGTGTCCATTCTACAGGAAGTTCACCATCCTTCTGGAATAATGCTGTTATTAAAAATAGAACCTGCGGTGTATGTATTTTGTTTTTCAAGATTCACAGCAGAATCTAAACTGTATTTCAGTGAGCTAAATGTTGCTGCTTATTTATTTAGCTCATGGCAAAATTTTCTCTTACCAAAATCATCACTTTTGAGATACTGTTTGATACACCTGGGCTAACAAGGAAAGCTTTACTGGAATGCTTCTCCATCATTATTCCTTAATGAAGCTAACAGTTTATTTACTATATTTTTTTTTTAATACCAGAAACTTGAATATGAATGAACTGTTCTCATTCTTGAAAATAAGTATCAGCTCTGATTTCAGAATAGTGCATCCTTGCAAGTGTAGATGACTGTGGTTCCATGAAGGCTATATTATATATATTTTTATATAATA